GGCCAGGCCCAGCGCGGGGGACTGCCGGCCCCGGTCAGCAGATGAGACCACGGTGTGTGGGGTCCCCCTGACTGCGTGGGAACCCCAGGCCAGTGAGGGGGGCACCGGCCAGCTGCTGCAAGGCGAGTCCCGGCCCCGCCCAGTGTCCACAGGTAAGGGGAGGTGGGAGCAGGGGCGGCGCCAAGCCCTATACACGGAGGGGTGCGGTCCCCGAGCCCCATACACGGAGGGGGGCGGTCCCCAAGCCCCATACACGGAGGGGGGGTGGTCCCCGAGCCCCATACAAGGAGGAGTGCGGTCCCCGAGCCCCATACACGGAGGGGTGCGGTCCCCGAGCCCCATACAAGGAGGGGGGCGGTCCCCGAGCCCTATACATGGAGGGGTGCGGTCCCCGAGCCCCATACAAGGAAGGGGGTGGTTCCCGAGTCTCATATTTTCTGTGGGCTTTTTTGGGTTTTGGATGGAGGTAGGCATCAAACGCCCACCTGTGTTCCTTGTAGCAGGGCTGTTGCAATAAAAGGCTTCTCGTCTTACTTAAAATGAACATCCGTTCACACCCTTCCACGGCCCTCGTGGCCACTGCCGCGGACTAGGGTGGGAGCAGCGCTGCAAGTGGGCGTTGAGAGAGTTCACTTCACATGCAGTTTCCCCCCACTGGCCAGGGAACAGCCTTTCTTTTTCTTCCGAGTGTCCCAAAAGGAAAAGATGCATCTTCTTCCTTATGCTCGACCTGGGCCGTTAGGATCCATGGGTTTTCTTTCTTGCACATCTGTGAATGCCTCAGGGAAGGTCTGTTCCGAGCCCTGTCCCGATGGCCGTGTGGTCACCGGCGCCCCATCTCCCTCGGCGTCCTACGCACCTTCAGTGAACAAGGGCAGGAACTGAACGTTAGGGTCTAGGACTCGCCTTCTAGGCTGTGACTGGAAGGAACGTGATGGGAGCCGGGTGATGGGACGTGTACAGCAGACACCAGCGTGTCCAGGCGTGGAACGTGCAAGGCCGGGGCCTCGTCCTGCGCGGGGGGAGGGCCTCGTGCCCCAGGATTGTGCTTGCTTCTTCCCTTATTTATGTTTTGTTCTTTTTCTCCTTCCCAGGTGACCTTGAAAGAGCCCTGCCGGCTGAAGTGGGGCTCCAGAAAGCCAGGGCACACCCCAAGGCCACTTCCTTCCTCTGCCGCGGCATGGACCCCAAGTACCAGTGTGACCTGGTGTCCAAGGGAGGCAGGGAGGTATACCCGTACCCTAGCCCCCTGCACGCCGTGGCTTTGCAGAGCCCCCTCTTTACTCTGACCAAGGAGACCGCACCGAGCGATGGCCACTTGCCCCCCAGTCAGCCCCTCCCTGGCGCCACAGGTCCGAGCCCCATTCGGACTGGACTGGGCCTCGAGGCTGGCCCAGCCAGCGCCTACATAGAGAGGCTGCTGCGACTGCAGGGCCGAGGGCCCCCTGCGAGGGGCAGTGTGGTTGAGCGTGGACCCCCAGGACGGGAGGCGTCCCTATCCCCGCAGGGGCTCGGGGTCCGGGGGGCGGACAGTGAGGGTGGCCTGGAGAAGCCGGTGTGCGCCCGGGGGAGAGCGGAGGTGGGAGGGGAGGCCCAGAGCGGGGCCGCCCGTGGGGACAGCCTCGAGCAGCCGGGGCCTGTGCCCCTTGTACGCACCCTGCACCCCAGCAGCCGTCCAGAGGAGGGCCCCAGACCCTCGCGCAGCTGCGTGCACCGGGAAGCCCGTCCAGGCTCCCCATGGCTGGGCTGTGGCCAGGCCCCTGCTCCCTGCTTGCAGGGTCAGCAGCCAGCTCTCCACGGCTGGACGGGCAGAGGCAGGTCGCCGGGCGGGGGGGCGGGTGGGGAGGGCCCCCCTCGGGCCCCTGGACACTGTGTCCGCCCGCACTTTGCTGCCAGAGGAGCTCTCCCTGTGGGGCCCCCCAAGGCCAAGCCTGTGAAGATCAAGAGGGGGGCCAGCGACAAGGCGCTGAGGCTTGGGGGGCCGCAGCTTCAGTGGGGCGCCCTCGGGGGCCCCCGGCCGCCCCCTGAGTCGGGAGGTGGTCTCAGGAGGCCCCCCCTGGCCAGGGCGGTGCCCGGCCGGTCCTGCTCTGAGTCCAGCCTCTACCCCGTGTCTGTCTTCGTCCCCCTGCTGGTGGCCCGACCAGAGGGTCACCAGGTGTCAGCTCAGGCCTTGTTCCCCTTGGAAGCAGCCCCGCTGGTGGCAAGCGGAGGGGAGGCCCGGAGGAAGCAGCGCAGGTGGCAGTCCTCCGTAGAGATCTCAGCCCGGGCCCGCCCGGACCCCAGCCTGGGGCCCCATAGGCCGGCGGCCCGGAGAGGGGGTGGCCCGCGGCCCGTGTGCGCCAGACCCAGGCCCAGGCTGCCCCGCCAGGATGCCCGAGCCCGGAGCGGGTCGGACGGCTCGGAGCGCTCGGCCGAGTGCGCGTCCCTCTTGCGCTCCACCGTCGCGGAGAGCAGCGGGGACGAGGCCAGCGACCACACGGCCAACCGCTTCGGGGACGCGGAGTCCAGTGGCAGCACCTCGGAGGGCAGCGGCCAGGGCGGGGGAAGCTCCAGCCAGCGGGCCCCGGCCAGCTCCAGGCCCCCTCTGCCGCCGGTGCCCAGGCTGTGCCGCGTCAAGGCCTCCAAGGCCCTGAAGAAGAGGCTCCGCAGGTTCCAGCCGGCTGCTCTGAAGGTCATGACCATGGTGTGAGGTCGCGGGGCGACAGCAGGGCCTGTCCGGGCCCGGGAGCCACAGACACAAAGGGACCTTTCGTGGCTGAGGACGGGCCCAGCCTCGCACGGTGTTAAGACGTGCAGGTCTGTGTCATCTGGACACTTTGCTTTCTCCCCGAAGCTGCCCTTCAAAAGGAGTCCCCTCAGAGGAGATGATGGGCCCGTCCCTGGTGCATCGCCCCCCAGGTTAGGCTGTGACTCTGCGCACGTCACCCCACCTTGGCCCCAGTGGAGACCTTCACCCAGAACTCTGGGACTGCAGATTCGTCGGGGCGCTGGCCTCCCAGCTGCCTGTGCCGTGAGCCCCGTGCTTGCTTCCCTCCATCCTGTTCCACTTGGGCTGGGCGCTCGGTGTACCCCAGCCTGTTGAACAGTTTCCCCTCAAAAGCGTTCCCTTTAAGAAATGGTTGCAGGACTGCGCTGTGGAAACTGGGTTGGACTCTGAATCCAGGTCAAACCCTCAACATGAATAAACAGCCAATTATGCCTTTGTCTTTGCAAGTCAGTCTTTCCCTTTTAGCCTCCCTGCCCTCAGGAACGTAGTAGGTGCTCAGCAAACCCTAATCCTTCCCCATCATGTGGACACTCTTTCACCCGAGGTGGGAAAATGCATTTCACATGAGTACGCTCCACACTCTTCCCAACACTCCTGAATTGAGCATAAAAATGCTTTGGAAAAGAAACCCTTTTATGGTGTTTATTTTTCAAAGGGAATTTCCCTCAACTTTTCAGGAAGGTAGGATTTTCAGGGAAGCTGCCTGCGGAGAGCAGCATCTTCAGTTCATGAAGCAGTTTTATCCTGAATTATTCAAAGCTGCTTCTGAGGGCCTGGAGGTAGAAAGAAGGCATGGGGGAGGTGGGGAACGTCTTCCCCAGTAGCCCACGTGGGGCTCTGGACCGCCACAGCCCCACCCTGGGGCTAAATGCACAGTTGGTAGGAACTTTTGAAGGAAAACGGTAAGAAAACAAGCTAAAATGGTAGTAGATCTTGTACTAGACATTAGACATTCATGTAACGAACAGCTAGTTTCAGGACGCACTTCAGAGATTCACATTTTAAAACGATTAACATTTTAGAACAAAGAAGTCCACCTGTTTGACCTGGGCAGAGGTTTCCAAAAGTGAAGGAGAGTGGCTGCTTTCTGTCACTCTCTTTCTTTCTGTCTCAAAAGTGCAACCATTTCAAAGGGCCCAGAGCAGACTTGGAGTCTATCTGGATAGAATTCCCACGTGGGCTTCACAGAATCCGCTTACTAACAGAGGTGAAAGGGTCTTCCTGAGCGTCTATAAAACTGCTCTGATATTTGGAGGAAAACGTCAAACCCACCCATGGTGGAGGTTTTGGATAGAAGATAGTACACAGGGTATTTTCTTTAATGGTCTAAATCTCAACCATGTGGCACAAGAGGCGATGGGAACCCAGTATTTGCCAGGGCCGCTGAGCAGGCGAGGGTCCTGGGAGAGGATCCAGAGCCAGGCTTCTGGCCCCGCCTCGGTCCCAGCAGTGTCCACAGTCTGTGTCCCTTGCCGGCCACCCCAGAGAAGTGGCCATGAAGCTCCCTTTACGGAGTGTGTCCTGCTCTGTTTGACATTATCTCTTGCGTCTGTTGGAGTTTTTCTCAATTCGGGGGCTTTGAATGCCGTATTTGGAAACTGCAGACTTCCTTCGTCCTCAGCAGGGCCCCCGTCCTTGTGTCACAGGAGAGGACCCTGAGGCTGTGTCTCTGGCCAAGATCATGTGAGATCAGTGCTGAAGGGGTTGCAGTGGGTTCGGGCCCCTGGGGATTTCTGACAGTGTTTATCTTTCTCAGAAGCCAGGCTCCATTTCCTCATGGTTCAGGTTCCAAAGCACAACCAGACAGGAATGCGTCCCCGCCCAGAAGATGCCGGGCCTGTCTGTGCAACCGGCAGACTAACGGAGCAAACTAACCATAAAACCCATGCAGACTCCACGCAAAATGCAACCGCGGCATCTGCGGACAGAGAGCCCTCAGTGATGAGATGTCAAATCAGTCATCAGTCAGTGTCCCTCCCTCCCTCTCTCTCTCTCTCTCTCTCTGTCTCCTTCTCTTTGATCCTCTCTCTATCTGTCTGTCTCTCTCCATCTGTCTTGGTCTCTCCCCAGCCTTGCAGACACACACACACACACGCACACACACACGCACACACACACACACACACAACACACGCACACGCACACGCACACACACACACACACGCACAACACGCACACACACACACCCCTGTCTGCCCAAGGCCTGAAGCTGCTTCCTCTCCGGTGCTCTTGCATTTACTCTCTGGCAGGTTTACAGTAAATAAATATGACTGTAGGTGCCGTGTCTTCCCATCCGCCTGGGGCCCAGGTGCCTTTGCTTCCCCACAAATTCAGCAGAAGGACACAGCCCAGGGTTCAGGCCCCGCTGGGCCACAGTTAGCTATTATGAGGCCCCAGGCGTCTCCGTAACCTCCCTGGGTTTGCTTCCTCTTATAGAGTGAGGTTGTTTATGCCTCAGGGTTTGCCGGGAGGAGTGCACGAAAGGTGTTGAAAACGGCCCCGGTTCTGCCCGCTGACCACCACGTCGGGCTCCTGACAGGAGCCCAGGGAGGGGACTCCACAGGCCGCAGAGCCGAGGGACTGGACAGGCCAGGAGGTCACGGGCGCAGAGGAGGCTGTGGGCAGGGAAAGAGCACACAGAGGGTCAGTCAGCGAGGGTCTCTGACCCACCCCGAGCATCACCCCGGCTCCGCCAGGCAGGCGGCGTCTTCCGTGGCAAGAACCACGGGGGAGGGCTCTTTGGGGAAGTACTTTAAAGCACAGAGTTAAAGTCGAGATCATCGGTGATAAGGAGGCAGAGTCAGTCCCCAACCCAGTCCTGAAATTACAAAACAGAGTCTGAGGGGCTATAAATTCAGGGAAGAAAAATATTTAAGGGAGGCAGAAGGTCCAGGGCAGAATGTGCAGAAGAAAAGATTAACTGAGACGTTCCATTCACCTGCCTGAGTATTTTATATTTCTCACATATGTTTCTTCTGAACAGATACGGTCGTAACTGCTCAGCGTGAAGGGAGAATAAGGCGGGAAGCTCCCCTGCGCAGGTGGCTGTGACATGGGGGAGGGGCGATTACTAGGTGATGGGTGGCCCTTCACGTGCGTTTGAAGACAGATGAGCTACTTCCTCATCCCTAAAGCCTTTAAAAAAGAGACAATTTACTGTTTGACTTTGGGGATCATTAGAAAGCATTTGTAACTTCCAGCATGATTGAAATACAAACATTTTAGCAAAAAAGTAAATATATAAAAGGAGAAGCTAGTTCTTTCTAAGTATCAACGTCAAGCTAAGGTAGAAATTAAATATATAAGAATTGCTAATTCATAAGAATGAGAGAAAAAGGATAATTATGTCAGAGAAGATACCCCAATTATTGTATCAAATCATACTGTAAAATTTGAGGAAAGAGAATCTTTATCTTTTATGACCGACTGAATGCACTTGTCCCCCAAATTCGTATGTTGAAGCCCGAGCCCCCAGTGGGATGGCATTTAGAGGCGGGGCCTTGGGGGACAGTTAGGGCAAGATGAGGTCCTGAGGGCAGGGCCCCCAGCGGGATTGGGAAGAGGTCACGTGGGCACACGTGGCTGTACTTACAGGCCAAAAATAACACCAACCCCGCTGGCACCACCATCTCTAAATTCCCGTGAATTAAACCACCCAGTCCATGGTGTTCTGTCACAGCTGCCCCCTTTGTACGCACAGAAGAGAACGTGGGAAGAGCCGAGAGAGCACTTAGGACCGGAGGAAAGAGAAACTTACTTCCTGCATCTTCTTCTTATGACCAGGAGGGTAGCTGGGCGACTAACCCGAGGCTGTCTTCATCCATCTGGTCAGACACATTCACTGAGCACCCACTGTCTCAGGAGCCGTGCCGCCTGCTGTGGGGTGACAGGAAAACACGGGGCGCCCGCGCTGGGGAAGCTTTGTGTCTCGCTGGAGGAAATAAGCAAACAGCAAGGGCGACCAAGCAGCCCCTGAAGAGGCCAGTGCCCATGCAGTGGGGCCCGAAGAAGCAGAGTTTGGACTCCGTGTGGACAGCACAGTTAGAGGTTTAACTGGGAGAAGGCGGTGCTGCGCTGGGCTGGGCTGGGCTGGGGGGCTGAGGAGGGAAGAGGAGGGGGACGGGGGAGTGGAGGGCTGAGCAGGTGCCTGGAGCTGGGGTGGGAGGGACGCTGAGTGGTCCTGGTGGGGTGGACCCAGGGGGTCCAGGTCCCAGCCCATATGCGAGAGGGGGTGGGCCACCATCAGTAAGCAGCGTCACTAGCGCCCGCAGAGTTGGGGCGGGTGGGGGATGGGAGAGCTTCCGGGGGAAAGGGGGTGCAGGTGTGATGGAGGCCAGGGGGCAGGGGAAGCGGGCAGGGTTACTGCAGGTAACCTGATGAGATGGGTGAGGCGCACTTGGGGGTCCTCACCTGGTCCTGAGCTGGAAGCAGGGACAGAAGGTGGGGCAGCTGTCCGTCGCAGGGCGGTCCTGCCCGGCTGCGGGTGCCGATCGTCACAGCTGTTCCTGCGCAGCTTCCTCGTAGACGGCCTGTGCAGACTGCAAGCCGGCTTCCTGTGGGTCTGACTCACGGGATGTTTAGTGAAGACGAGGGGAGTACTGGCTTCCTGGGCAGGTGGCCGAGGCTGAGGCTCCAGCCCCGTGTTCACAGGAGGTCTGGCCGCTGGTCGGTGTGTGCTCGGTCTCTCGGAAGCCAGGAGAACCTGCTAGACTTGTGTTTGGAGAGGCCTGTGACCCAGCTGTGCTGAGATGGGTCTGAGGAGAGACAGGAGGTCCGGCCCCGGCCAGGGACCCAGGCAGGGGCGTGGCGGGGACCGGCGCCACGGTGAGAGGTGCCGCGGAGGGATGCACACGCGGCAAGACACGCAGCTCGTGGCCATTCTGTGGTCAGGGAGCCCGCGGTCTCTTGCAGAAGCCACCGAGGCGACGGTGGCATAGACTCCAAGGACAGCTCAGGAGTCCTCCCAGTGTCGTTCATTTGCCCCAGTGAGGAATGAGAATTCTCACTGAAACAAGAACATATTCTTATCTCTGAGAGGAACATCCCTGTAGAAACAAGAATTTCTAATCAGAATCTTTTTCCATCTTTAAAATTTGACTCTCTTTTTAGTTTGTTATTCCCTTTTATTTTTTATTCCTTTTTATTTCCCTTTTTATGTTTCTTTCAGCCATGGTCTCCTACCCAAGGATAAAATCCACAGCAAATCCACACTTAACAAATCATTAACCCTATTGCACTTTCACTTCATTTTCCTTAATTATTTTCCTCCATCTCCGTGCCCTCGTCCCATCTGGGGACACATGCTGGATTTTCAAATTCGGTCTCTGTGACACACTTCACCTCCTGGGTGACAGGCGACGGTGGCAGCATCTCCGGTTGGTGACAGTAGTGGTGTCAGTCCCTACTAACATGGCAGCATCCCCATCGCCAGTCTTGTCGCGGCTGCACATCCCGGGTTGGCATCCTTGCTGACAGAGAAGGAGGAGGAGAACGCACACCTGGAGCCTGGAGGACCAGAGGCCAGTGCAGGGGGCTCACGTGGACCACAGCGCGTCCACACGCGTGCACAGCGGAAGCCCCTTCCGCTCCGGTCCCCCCAACCAAGGGAGCCCCTAGGCTGTCTGTGATGAGTAAAGTCACTTCTAATCCCTAGTGATGCAGGGCAGTGCACAGCGAAGGGGCTTATTAAAGTACTAAGTACTCAGGCTGATCCCCAGAGGCTAAGGGAGGATTTCCACCCCGGCCTGAATAGGTCTGGTACCCACCAGAGCCCGGGCACTCCTGCTGTGTAACTTTGCAGAACACTTCTGGCAGCAGCTCTCTGAGCCACGTCTGGAGGACAGCCGGTCCTCAGCGAAACAGCATATTGTCCCCGTCATCTAATCAGCATCTGTATGACCCAGATGGTCCTGGAAGAGACCACAGCCTTCCCCATCCTTCACAACACCCGACGTTCCTGTTGCTTTTACACTGCTTTCCTGGGTGTCCGAGATCAAGTCTTTAAGTAGCTCAGCACGACAGTAACTTCCTTCAGGGAAGGTTTGTGTCTGATGCACAAACGAGTCCTGAAAAACCGTCAAAACACAGTCTTCCTCTGGGACATTTACAAGGATGGCATCAGAGCACGCAGACAGCGGAACGCCTCCCTGCGGCGACCATGTACGTCCGTGTGCTGGCAAATTCTGGACTCAGTTCACTAAGGGTGCAAAGCAAACACGTCTGTGTTTGGGGCGATCAGCCTTCATGATTTGCTCGACGCTGTAAACCAACACTTGTTTTGTCCGACCCTGGCAGGGATCATGGCGGAGGGATTTCACCTCACTCCAAGTTGCAAAATTCAGGTGATGATCATAATAGTCCCTGGAGTCGGATTTCATTTCAATTTCATTTCTATTTATTTATTTGCTGTCAAGTGCCTTTTTATTGTGCCACAGTTCAAACTGTTGGAAACACTGGAATTGGTAGGATCTGGAGCTGAGCGGGTCCACAGAGTTTGCTTGTATTTAAGCCTGTTAGGAGCTCTTGTACGTTCCCCCGAAAAAGATCACATGCACAGCTAGGAAAGGCGACAAAAACACATTCAAGAAACTTCCTGTGTGTACACCTCCGTCACACATCTTCAGGAGGCTGTAGAAATCCAAACCGGCCACTGGATTGGCTGGGGAAACTGGGACGATATTAGAAGCCCGTTTAATACGAAGATTGTACTTTTACATATAATTAAGGAAAAGGAGTTTATCATAGAATTCTTAGGAGCCATTGGCTGAGAGGGTGTCGACTGGCTGGGTTAGGAGACATGTTAACTCAGATTGATAGCGTAGCTGGCCGTGGCTGAGCTGGGGTATCTGCTATTTACTGTTAAAAAGTGTCTACGATTAATGGTTAATGTTCACACATTGCTTCCCCAGGGTTTCCCTTTGACCGTCAGGACAACTCTGTGAGGTCGACAAGGTGGGCTCTTACACCGACACCACCTTTGAAAGCTGAAGGATCTAAAGCAGACGGGTGAGTGGAGAGCCAGGTCACCCCCGGCCGTCCTGTCCGAGGTCAGGCCCGTGGCTGCCCACTAGACACCTGCCAGGCCCATCAGGCTCACCGGTAGCCTCCACCGGGCACCACACTGGACTCGGAGAGAATGGAAGGTTCTCGGGTCACATCCGGCGGCTGGGGCACAGGGCCCAGGCCTTCATGTGCTGCTCAGGGGCTCCCCATGCTGGCCAGGCCCGAACGGACCTGCCCACTCCTCTGAGGGCGGGCGTTAGGTTGGACCACAGCGGTGCCCCAGGGAGCACCTTTCTGTCTTCTGTCCACGGGAGCAGAAGGGCTCCCCGCAGACAGGGCCGCAGCTTTTGCAGGAGCTTCTGCAAGTGATTGCAGGAGTTTCTGTGGCTTCTGTAACCTTTCCCTCAAATGCGGTGGCTTCAAGCAGCACAGATTGACTGTCTTAAGGTCCTGGAGGTTTGGGTCCTGAATAGATCTCACGGGGCTCAATCCAGGGGTCAGCAGAGCTGGCTCCTTCCAGAGAGTCCAGGGCAGAGTCAGTCCCTTTCCAGCTTCCTGAGGGGCCCGCGTTCCCCAGCTCAAGGCCGCACCAGCGTCCACAAAGCCAACACCTTCAGGCTGAGTCCTCTCACACCACTGCCCCTGGTTTCCTCTCTCTCTGCCCCCTTGTCCACTTGTAAGGACACCTGTGATTACATAGGGCCCATCTCGAGGATCCAGAATCATCTCCCATCTCAGGTCTGCAGACCAGCGCACTTCGTTCCCCCTTTGCCCTGAGAGGTGACGTATTCGCGGGCTCCGGGCATGAGGACGTGGGACGTGGACATCTTTGGGGCCGTTCTTCTGCCGACAGCAGAGGTTAGATTTCACTCCCCCGGCAGAGCGTGTGACTCCCTATTTTCTCACTCCTTGCCAAGATTTTGTGTCACTGGACTCTGTGATATTCCCCATCTGGTGGCTGTGAAATGGTGCTTGGTTATGGTTTTAATTCTTGTTTCTCTGTTTACAAGTGAGCTTGAGCCTCTTTTCGTATTTTTATTTGCCTTTTGCCTTCCTTTTGTGAATTACCTGTACATATCCTTTTGTCCCGTTTTCCTAATTTTTTTCACTGATATGTAGGAGTCTTTATAACTCAGAGACTAATTCTTGGTCACTGATAAGACGTAGGTGTTGCAAATATCACTTCCCAGCTGAGGATGGTCTAACTTTGCTCCTAGAGTTTTTTTGCAGAACACAAGGTTTTACGTCAGTGTAGACAAATGTGTGAATCTTTTCACTTATGGTTTGTGGCTTTTTAAAAATCTTATTCATAGAATTCTTCTTTTGTATGATATTGCAAAGATCTTTTTATATTTATTAAAAGTTTAAAATTTTTGCCTTACCACATAGGTCTCTAGTCCACTGGTGTGTGTGTGTGTAAAGTTCTCCTAGTTTTGCATGTCCGTCTTCCACGATGACTTCACCCCATCATGGACAAACCCAGTCTTCTCCCCCCCGTCCTCAGCTCTGCTCCCTGAACGCCCTCGCAGCACGCATGGGAGTATCTTTCTGGAGGGGTATCTGTTCTGTTCCCTGTTCATCCTTCCAACCTCCCAGGACCACAGCTAAATTCTACAGCTGTTAATAAGTGCTGACTTGGCTGATATCCCAACTTTTCTTCTTCAAAGTTGTCTCGGTCATTTGGGCTCTTCATTCTTGCGTGTGAATCACAGGGTCACCTTGTCAAGTTCTGTAAGAATCCTCCTTGGAATTTCCATGGAAGTGCATTTAAGTGTGTAGATTAACTGGGGGGTACTGCCATCTTTATGACAGAGTCTTACTGTCACTTACCGTTTTTGTCTATTTGATGTATCTCAGTAAATTTTAAAATTTCCTCCTTAAGGTTTTGCCCATTTTCATTACATTTATCACTACGTACCTTTTTTAATATTATAAATGAAATTGGAATTTTAATTTGTGTTTTATAATTATTGAATGCTACGTGTGCTTGTGTGCGTGTGTGTGTACGTGTATCTGTCTTTTATTCCGCAATCTTCTTGAACTCTCTTATTAGTTTTAAGAGTTTTCCTGTGGCTTCTCTGGGATCTGCCCTGGATTGTATACAGCCAAAACCAGCCGTGTTTGTTTGGGCCCAATAAATACCACTCTGCTTTCCTACCCAGGTTCTGAAGCAGCTAGACAGTAAGTCAAAATCCAAGCAGCCAGAAGTAGTAGCATCAGCTCTGCTTGAGAGAAAGCTGTTAGAGAATATACAGCATCTGCAGACAAGTGGGCTTCCCAATAACGAGCCCCGAATCAGCAGATGTGCCCCCGGTTATCAGACCGCCGGCCCTTCCCTGGGATTAGGGCCTAACCACTTAGCTGACCACATGTCTTTGGAAGGTGAGGGGCCCACATTCCCTGGGACAGACGGCTTCCCAGGGGCCGGGGAAGGTGACAGCCAGGCCTCATGCAAAATAAAACCTCGGAGCCCTGTTCAATTCAACTTGTCAGGATGTTTATTTGCCATTTACCGTCATTCCATGTACGGAAAAATTAAAAAGTTATCTTACCAGCATGAACGTGGCCACTCGTGTTTATATCGTACAGCCGGTTTCTAAGGTAAACACAAGAATGCTAACTGTG